CAACGCACAGCCCAAACCACTGCACGGATCGGGCTGAAATTTGGCATGCAGGTAGATGTTATGACGTAGGTATTCGCTAAGCGAGGATTTTGATCAATTCTACACCCAAGGGGATAAATAGGGTATGAAACTTTGTCTATTTTAAACCGATCGGGCTGTAACTTTGCATGCAGGTATAAGAAATCATAGATGAATCTCATTATGTATAATACAAGCCTGAGAATAAAAACTGTAGTCTACACTTCAGCTCTACACCGAAGCGAAGCGAGGGCGGGCCGCTAGTAATACATATTTGGATATGATTTTAGCTTAAAATTTTGAGAAATAAAATTTACTTTTCCTATGGTGTCATCTGGATTTTTCCTGATTCAATATGAATTACGTAGTAAAAGCGTGTTTGAACATCGCTCTCGAGGGTTGCTCACAACGCGGACTTGTTTGTTTAGGCCGTACTGTTAACTGATTCCGATATTGTAAGCCTCTTATCTTTTCCGTTTGTAAACGACCCTTATCCTTAAGCAGGGTTTTATGGAGTAAAGTTGAAGTCTTGCTTTCATAATCCCCAATTATTTTCCAGTCGAATTTCTACGAAACATTGTTACTGCACATGTGTTTATTATGACAATGCGGAGAACTGAAATTTTGTTGACGGTGTTTTATGTGCATACATATGTGCTTAGAACTTACTTTAACATCAGTCTCTCCTTTTCACTCTGTGTAGAAAATGACAAGGATACACTGTTGTCAAATATAAGTTTAGATTTAGAGAATCATGCCGGAATCGACACCAAAATACATGTAAAATATCTTCGGTGATTTTTTCGTAGTCCTGTCAAATAGGAGCAATAGTAGAAAAACGTGTAAGTATTTTGCAACATGAATGAATACAATAAAAGATTTTGTAGTCTCAATTTTATAGGAAAGAAATATTTTGGTTTCGATTCATTGAGTTTTGAAATTTCGTGTCTATTATTCTTAGCCACCTCATATAGCCTAACCTAAATTTGTTTTTTTTTTATAGCCAGGTAGGCAAATGACTCTACCCTACCTGATGTTAAGTGGTGATAAAGTCCAAACGCAAAGATAGCTGGTACAGCAGTTTTAAACTGCCACACCAACCATCCTCACCTTGCCTTAAAGGACCCCCGATTTTAGGAAAGAGGGAACACGTGCGCGGGCAAAGAATTCCACTTGCGAATAATACGACAAAGAAGTGAGTCACCAAATTTTTTTTTCGTATAGGAATAGTGGCCACAGTAAGTCGGTGGCCACGTAGGCCAGCGCGCGTGGTCTTCTGAAGAAAAGATGATGCAGGGATAAGGGAGAATAACTCCTCAGAACACCCGCCGTGGTACACATAGTCGGTAAAATGCGCTTAATGATGCCTCATCAAAACATAATGATGTTTTTTGTTAGTTTTTGTATCGGTGTACATTGTTTTGCGGAGTGTGATATTGACCAATTTAATCTGATTATCTTGTTTCGTATTTTATTGATTAAAACATAGCAGATAGCAATTGAGATTTCGATAATATGAATATCAATCAATGGGCTTCCTTGACCTATTTTATTTACATAGAAATTACCAAAGGGAGAAAGCCGCAGCTGAAATTCGCAAATCGGGTCAAGGACAGTGCGGATGCCAAATGGGTACAAAGGGATCCTGAACGGATGCCTACTTGTACTTACTTCCTACTTATTACCAACATTCATACATGACATTAACTATAATTTTATTAATTATAGAAAACTTAGAACTTACAACATGATAAGGTCTTATAACAAAAAAAAAATATATCGTGTTCAAGCCTCATACCATCTCTATTTGACTTTGAACAATTAACAAAGATGAAATGATGTGATAAACTGGATTCTCTTATTTAGAATTTTGAAATGTTAGTGCAGGTGGCCCTTTGGTACCTAATTGTACTAATATTGGAAATACGATTGACTCAATTCACCCATTAACCGCCACTCTTTATATCAGTTGGCTTGACCCTAGCGCCAAGCATAATTAATCGAAAACTAAATACCTACATATAATAGGGATGTTCCATGGTAGATCGATATACCCTCCCCAGCTTGGCATTTTCAAAATTTCGTCTAAATAGCGATAGCTAATTAAGCTTGAAAAGATAAGTAACGAATAATAAGTTACTTTGCAATTTAATAATCTGATATTAGTAGGTATTTTGATTACGTAATGAAACAAAAAGGGTTTAAAACGTTTTAAAGATTGATTTTTTTCGTCCCAACAACTTTGTCGAAAGATTAAATCTCGAGACATTATTATTATTACTCAACAAGTACTATTATGTCAATTAATCTTAATCACGGAACAACAAGTAACAATCAATATAGACATCGGTAAGTTAAACATTGTTCTTAAAAAAAAACATTCTTGGTAGATTTTTCACCAATATTCGGATGTTTGAAAATAACACAACATAATAAAGAAACTGCAGGAGAAATCGGATAAAGTTATTCTCTTAACGTACATACTGATTAATTAAAAAAAATGGAACGCAAGTAGCATTATTTACTGTAGTTGTAGTCTTTGGTTCTCAAATATTAAGGGATCAATCTATTCTTTATAGCTTATAAGCCAATGTATAAATGGTATATAATAAAAATTAGTCATGCAACATTAATAAAAACAAAATAATTTATAAAAATAACAGCAATGAAAAGCATACTTAACAACAAAATGTAAAGCCTGGCATACATGAATAAAGCAGATATGTTATTAGCTGCCATAATGTTAATAATGTTAGCAACATAAAAATAGAAGCATAAATAAGGACATATTTGTTAATCAAAAGGTGCAGGTGAAGGTGTGCTTGCATGCGATGACATGGGGCAATTAAACCTCTGATGACCCTGGAGATAAAAAAAACAACGGTTAGTAAAAAGCATTCTGAAACGCTATAATTATTGTGTTAAAAAAATGTCATATCATATTACAACTACGTAAACTAACCAAATTAAAAAACAATTACGTCACTTAAATAAGAACTTCAAAATTAATTGGGCTTTATTAAGTTCATTAATGTGACAGACGATGAATGATTAGATGATCAATGTAAAAAATTAACTGCATAGGTACACAAGATATGATAAAAATTTTTTAAAATGAGTAATAACAAAATCGTAAAAAATAGGAAAATAGAAAAGCAAAACATAAGGCAGACCCAAAATAAAAATAGTTAAAAAATATAATGTCACTGGGTATAACGTGAAATTTAAAATATTATATGAATTGCTTTGTTAAATTGTATATCTGATAAAAACGCTATCACCTGAAGTCTCCGTTTTTATTATTATTACTCTAGCAACTGTAATATCAGAATTGTCTTTGTCTGGCTAAAAAAAAGTTGCAGTAGGTATCTCAAATTTATCTACGTTATAGCGTTTAGTAAGAGTAACTTATCAGGGTTCCCTGTTAAAGATGCAAAAAGAGCCTTTCTACATTTCTATTTTTAGATAACTAGGAAAACTAATAATAATGTAATGAAGTAATGATAATGAAATATCTTAAGACTTCTTAGAATCTGCCTACTTTGATATAGTTGAAAACTACAGTCACAATATCTCTACTCGAAAAATCTAGTAATTTGATGTACGCTTAGAATAATAACTGAGTAGCAACTGAAGGTCGGATTATGACTCATATTAGTTAACTTAATAAAGTTCAAAAACGAACAAACTTCAAAGGAGTAAGCACTTAGTATAGAACCTACCAAAAATGTACCCTCCCACACGTAAATCCATAATAAGCCATCTTATTTTATTTGCTATTATTATAAAGAGGTATGGCTCATTTGTAGGAAGTAAATCTCTGGAACTACTGAACCGATTTGGAAAATTCTTTCACCAATAAACAGCTACAATATTCCTGTAGGTTACATTTTCTCAAGTTAAAATAGTGTTCACCCTTGAAAATCTGGCCTATTTAGTTATGAATACGACAAAAAGTAACTCATCTGTTAGACTCCTTGTTACGCTTTCACGCTTTAACTGCTAAACGGATTTCGTTCAATTTTAATATTAACTTAAAAGAGATCTTGTAGAAGAACACGGATTGCTTTTCATCGAGAAAATACATCTTAAAATGGGTGAAATAGGAGATACAAGATTATTTGAGAAACCAGTTATTACACGCAGTCGAAGTCGCGTCAACTATAGTATAGAGCAGATGATAATATACGTTTATTTGTTTTCGTTTGTCTTGAAGTAAAAAACTCAAATCGTATTACTTAAATATTTACATAATCATATTGGGATCCGAGTTTTATTTGCATTCAAAATAAATTGACTTGATAGCGTAGTATACTCATAGTATCCAGTGAATATTCATGGAAAAATATTGAACAGTAAAATTTATTCACATTTTTCTGTAGGTAATCATTTTGCTGCACTTCATCGAGCCGTCGGGCAATTGTCCCGACTACTGTACCCCGAAAGGTACAATCCTGCAGTCACCGCAATAGGTCCCACAACCCAACAGATGGGGCATAGACTTTTCTTATGAATAAATTAAGCGGATAATAATTGTTTAGTCTCATCATTGGCGTGCAAAAATGGCTGTAGTTGCAATTAGGACTATAGGACCAACGGTTTATGATTGTGTTTTCCAAAGCATGATTTCTGGTCATCCATCCGATATGATAACCGCCAATTTATTTGGCAAAGTTGCTAAACCTCCGTAGATACCTATTTAATCTGCATTCGATTTATCGAGCGAACAACAGCTATATTGATGTTCTCAATAAATTATTGATAACTATTAAATGTAGGTGTCCAAATTTAGTATTCTGAATAATACAATCAGACACTTGTGTGAAGTTAGGGTTTAGTCTAAGTGTCGCTTCTTTCCAGTTGCGTTCACTTAAATAAGGATGACTGCGCGAAAGTAAAACAGCTCTCTAACAACATTACGATACTTGCATAACTCATTATAGGCAGGTACAAAATCTTACGGGGAGTAAGTAGGTACGTACCGTGCAAACAAGGCGACAACAGTCAGTGCGATCCACTTGCAAGAGATTGCAGCATCCCACCAAGCCACGTTCACTGCACAATCACTCGCAAAACAACTATAGGTACCATACGAACTAATATAGTATAAATAAAAAAGACAACGGTCTCCAAAAACTGGTTCCCGGCGGCTCCGAACCACAAATAGCGGCACTTGTTGCAGAACTAAACACAAAAAGTCGATTTACAAGATTTAGCTATCACAAGGATTACACCAACTCTTTTTTTCTCCCTATTTTAACAATCGATACTTTTGTTTAACTATTTAGTTGGATGCATAAAACAAAACTCGATTAAAAAAACACTGTCGTTGTCAATACTTAGAAACACTTTTCTGTTAATAAAAGCCCAAGTTTGTTTGACTGTTTTGTTAATGATATTTTTTTTATTTTATAAAATAAATCATGAAACTATTGTGAGCTGTCAATTGAACGTCCCGAGGGCGGCTGGCTCGCAGCTGAGCACGCATGCGTCCCGCGGCGTGCCTACAGCGCCACCTGCGCGATTCAACTGACGTGCACGAACGAAACGAAACGAGGCGACCGATGACGGACGGCGACTGACGGGGATGTCGCTATAGAAAAACTTTGTACTGAGTTACCAGCATCGCCAATCCTTTGACAATACAAAAAGAGAGTTTTACGTGCACAACACATCATGATAAATAATCAAAGTGAAAATTATTGTTTCGTTCATATTCACTGCCTCATGTACGCTTAGCTCTTCTAGTAAAATTAAACTAACTTTAACTAATTAAACTAACTAAGCTCGAAGATGCCACATTTGCTATATTTACATCATAGGTACACTAAGGACTAGGACTAATCAAGTCCTAATTTTTTCCGAAATAAGTGAACAATATGTTGCCAAACCGTCGCATAACTACTGAAGCACAAAATACTTACCATATCGTCCGTAGTTTTTTTCTATCTATAAGAAAAAGCTAACAGGTGGAGAAAATAATAATCTCAAACGATAGTTTGTTTCATCATTATCATATCAACCGATAAACGCCCACTGCTGGAAGTGAGCCTTCCCCAAGGAATTCCAAACCAATCGGTCCTGCGTTGCCCGCTCACATTCAGCGTCTTCCCGAGACCTTCCAGATCGTCGTCCATCTTGAGGGGGGCCCACCACGCTGCGCAGCGTTCTTTGTTTAATTTGATGAATAATAATTAATTAGGGACCCAGACTACTCTCTATTATTCCAAAAACGACGAGACGAGTGGGTTTATTACCCACTCGTCTCGTCGTGGAATACATAAATACGTAATTATTTATTATGCTAGAGGCAACACTTGTTTTGTGCTTCTAATCTAATAGTCCCAGAGAGAAGATATCGTTTTCAAGATGTTAGTAAAATTTACATCAGTATAATGAATAAATATCGGACAAAATGATTTAGTCCCAAACTGAGTAGATCTTGCTTGGATGGAAGCAAGATATTGTACGGAGTAAGTACATAGGTAAACAAGGTTATGAACAAACGTACATGTATAGTATAAAATGTCTCGGGAACAAATGAGTCCTTTAGAAAGATAAGTCTCAGATAGGTACTGGGAGTCGAACACTACCCCAAGAAGAAATGCTGGCTACCGTACAAGATATTTTTAAATAACACACCAATTATAGTGGGTATTTTAAAAAATGAATGTAGAATCTCTCTGGATCATTAAAGTTACATTTTTGTTCGTAAGAGCAACGCACCCGCGATCAAACATATGAATGAAGAAAATAAGGTTCGCGTTGGTTCTCTATTCGCGTTTACTCTACTACTGTTTAGGAAATAATTGATCCTATTGTGTTTGTTTTTAAAGTCATAAATTATTTTTTACATTCAGTTTTATTTTTATTTTACTTCGTGTTCTGTACCAAGCATTTCAATATTTATTTGAGTAATTTTTCGCAAAGTATTCATTTTAAGCCATAGACAGAGCAACATAAAACCTTATAGCTGCCCACGGCCGAGCCAACTCGATGACATTTTCATTTGACTCTATACGAAATTCAAAAAGATTTCAAATAAAAGAAAAAAAAATATAACATAATATCATGTAGGTATCTATCAAAAAAGAGGAAAATTTTGTTATTGTAGATTTAAAACACCAATGTCTCTCAAATTGTCGTCATTTTTATTAACAGTTTTACCGTTAGTTGTTAACTTGAAATTTAGTGGATATTGTATTACTAGTTTGTTAAAAGATAATACTTGTTTGTGTGTGAAATGTCACATTGAATGAGCTTCGACGTGGATCGGTATTCGGCTACGTGGGCACACATCGCCCTATGTGCGGATCTCACATGGGCTGCCGAACCCCCAGATGATTTCATTGTAGCCAATCAGGTAATTTATAGGCAAATTACTAACCAATCGGTACCTAGATAGACACGCCACACGTTCTAAATAGGCTACAAATCTCAGCTGTTTTATGTCAAAAGTTTATTGATCTTTAATACCAGCAGCCCGTATTTTTCAGTTATACTTTCGAAGTTATACTATTCGTTATAGTACTTCACGGTTTTATACGAAGATTTTAGATGGGGGCTTATTAAAGTAGCAGCACCTACATAAAGAGTAGCTATGTTACTGCTCTATGCTCTATTTCTTGCATTACGTGATCATATTCTAGTGTATCTACACACCGCGTTAAGGTTTTTACGGAACCCCGTGCAGTTTTCAAAAAAAAAATCTTCAATATATGCTTATATTTAAGAAATACGTTTATAGGTAAAGTTTTGGAAGAGAAATCCAGAAAAGTCCAGCTACTAAGTTTTCTACGTAGAAAGTAGATGTCTATCAGGGGCAAGGGTATTTTTTAACTAATGAAAAGGGAACTGTCGAAAAGACACTGATTTCCCAACATTAACTAGATTAGCTATGACCGACTCCAAATGTAGTGCAGCGGCAAAATTACATTGGTTTTAGATCTTGGTTGCTCTGTCATATAGAACGGTTTCCTGCTTTATATTTATTTGTTACGTATCTTGTTAGAAAAGATACAAAATTCAACTATTTTCAAATCTCTCAATAATTCCCCCTGAACGTTATAGGTTTTTTTTTAATAAAGTGTCATGGCAATTGCCTCTTCTACGAAAGATATTAATACCATATTTGTTTCAGCGCCTTTGGGCACAACACTGCCGAATTTCCCAAATACTACAAGAAACAACTGTAGAATCGCAAAGTGTACAAATAAACAATCAAGCTGAATTAACAGGCGAGGATTAATTTAATATAACTATTGAAAAAAAGAACTTAAAAGAGTCAGTCACTGGCAATTGACACGCAGTTTTTTACGGGAAGTGATAAGCTAGAAGCATTCTACCAAAGTGATTGGGCAACTAAGTTCTTGCTTTGTTTTTAACAACTTTAGTCTTTAATAAGTATATCTACAAGGTAATATAATCCTTTATCTCATTTGAACAACTTTTTCAAAACTTCCAAAACATTTTGGCAGAAAAAACGAAACTGATTCGATTCGGTAAGTAAAATAGTCATGTAATAAACCTCAAGTTTGCTGCATCAGACAGAATATATCTCCACGCATAGCAATTGAACAAGATGAAGTGGAAAACAGTGAAACGGGATCGGCTTTCTTAATCTTGAGGTGCCATTCGTTCTGCTGGTAAACATCGTCAACAGATATAGACCACAACTGTTCTTGTCCCGTTGGACGTTTATCATCTATGTACTTTGAGGGCTACCTCTCCCTCTTACTACGGGCTTTTCTGCAACTCAAAGCCCATATAGCGCCTGTTTTGCTTAAGGGGGGTGTGTTGTCGTTGTCACTCCAGCCAGCCCATCTCCGTTCGGAACATCCCCAGCGCCTTTACATTGGTGATTGCCTCTTGGAGGTTTCCCAGTGAGCCTAGGTATTTTGCCCGGTACTCGGCCACTCCGTTGCATTCCAGCAGAACGTGAGTAACTGTTTCTTCTGTACCTAAGTTAAAAAGATACCTGTTACAATTGGCATGTCCGGTAATAGCACCTGTTACCATGCGCAATGTCGGTCTACTTAGCTGTAGAAAAGTCTTGCAGAAAGCAGCGTTGACCCGTGGCAAAGGGAGTTCGCCGGCCTACATGTCTCCAGGGTCACCTCTTCCCCCTTTTTTGCGAAACAAAGGAAAGGCATTTTTCTAGTAGATACTTGTTCATCGGGTCTCCGTTTGACATAATTATCCAAACTACCTCCATCCATCCTCCACCATCCATTTAAAAACAAAATCCGAAGATTTTCAAACGTTCGTTTTTAATAAGTTACTTTATCTCTAAAATCGCTTTAATTTTAAGGTTTTCTCGATTCAGATTGACAGTCACACAACTTAATTCATGTAACTGCGTTAGTTTATCAAGAAGTCTCCAAACGACAAACTCGTGCTTACCACTGATTGACTGATCGATCGAACTCCTGTCTTCTGCATAATGAACTGAACCAACAGCGATAATGTTCTACTTGTAACAAAATGTTTGGGCGTAGCAAATGTTAATTAAAACTTATTTTTTTAATAAAATATCGTTTCTTTAGATAAACGGCCAAATACGGGCCCGAGCCAAGAGAATGGAAACTCCAGTGGTCGGAGGAGTGTAAAAGATGTAATACCAGAGTCAAGATTAGCGCAGTTCTATGGAAACTATTATTATGATGAAGTCAGGTACGGTACATAACGATATTAAAAACTCTGACAAGTTTCATTATCTATCGGCCATACCATATGTAAAATAAGCCCTTCTAAGATTTTATGATTTAAAGAAAAAATAACTAAAATAAATTCTAGTCAGCCTGGAAATCAAACCTTCGTGCTTATCTGGGCGAACGCACTAACCACTACGCTACCTGAGCAGAAATGATATTCTGTTGACTTACAAAATTTTTACGCGCGGATCCATTTTTGATTGCATTCCTTTCTTTAATAATGATTATGGAAACTCCTCCTTTTCTGCTTGAAGTCGACTAAAAATCAAATAAAACCTCGAAATGAGTTTTAAGTCCACGTCCTTTGAATGCCTGAATAAACATAAAAAAACTTACAGCAATTTTGCTAAGTCCCGGATCCATTTGCAGCAAATTTGCTCAATCGCGATTCAACTAAAATTACCTTTATCTGGATTCAACTAAAATTTTCCTTTATCTAGATTCCACTAAAATTAGCTTCAACTAGAAAAATGCCAAAACGTTAATGTTAATTTGACATTAAGTACGGATTAAATCTAGTTTTAGTTAAATTGAGATTTAGCAAAATAACAAATTATACTTACACCATTCGTTCATTCACTGTTTTGATCCCAAGAAGAATATTAAGCAGCTAAATAATAAAGTTACCATAGCGGATGCGCCGCAAAAATAGATTTTCACACAGTTGTGTGGTTTTTCTCATTGCCATATTGTCAAATTAAACATTTTCGAAACAAATTGACTTGTAATTGCAAACTTTTAACATACCAGTCCCTGTAGCATGAGCTATTATATTTATTAATAAGGGGCAATGTGTTTATTTATCTTGTTTTATCAATAGAATTTGCATAAACCAATGTTTATTATGTTA